TTTTTTTTTTTTTTTTTTTTTTTTTTTTTTGGTTTTTCTTCGGTACCGGGAATTGGCCTCTGCTCTTAATCCTAAAAATACTATGAAAAGTGAAAACAATGCAGAGCCATCCTCAAACAGTATGTCTTCACCGATTTGATGACTTTTTTGTCTCCCTACATGAAATACCACTTTCTCTTTCTCTCCAAGTTTGTTTGACTTGGACAGTTTTTATTTAAAAGCCCCCATGGAAAAGCAGACGAGGAAACCCCTCTCACACACCCTGGCTTTCTGGCTGGCTGCGTGCAGGTCTGGGGCGATGCGTGGCACTGGCTCCCCGTGGGCTGCCATAAGAGAGCCACGGCTCCGTCCTGCTTGCCTGGAGTTAGCTTTGCCTCAGGTTTCCAAGGCTGAGCAAGCTGGCGTTCATGTGCATAAGAATAAATAAAAACAGCTTCTGCCAAAGTGAGCTTTCAGGGATTCGCCTGCCCTGAAATTTGATAAGGAGCGCAGGCTCTAGACTGGTCCTGATCCCCAGGTGTATGGCCCAGTCTGACCTCACTAAGCCATGGGTCAGGTCCCAGTCGAATGCATGTTTCACCCGCCATGGGTCCGGGCAGCGCAGCTTTTGAGACCACTGTGCTGACGGGTGGGCAGGATCAAGCCAGATGGAGTTGGAGTGTAGGGGGTGGGGTCTGCGGCACGTTGCTGTTACCCTCCGCCCCAGGGTCCCTGGGTGGTGTCTGTTCATGTGGGGCCACAGCGTTGCAGTTACGGGCAGGTGGAGCCTTCAAGAAAGTGGCAGGGAAGTGGCGCTGGGGACAGTTGTAGCACACTCTCAGCAGGTCACCCGAGGCCCTGCATTGTCCTGCTTTGCTCTTTCACTCCCCACGTGCTGAAAGAGAAGAAACCCCAACTTAGCCTTCGGCAGCCGTGGGAATGAGGGTGCTGAAGCTGAGATAGGGCAGCCTTTCTCCAGGTCACAGGTGAGATCGCAGCCCAGAGGTGTCACTCAGGCCCTTTGCCTGGCACGTCTCCCGCACCTCTCCTCTGGTTTTCTTCTTGACCTTCACCCCACCGTTCTCTTCCCCAGGAGATGGACCCAGCTCACTGGCCCACGCCCCTCTGTGCCTTCGGCACATCCAGCCCTTAGCCCATTCCTCAAGTTCCTCAGGGCCAGGTCTGCGCATGCCGCCCCCAACCTGGGCCTGGCGTGCAGGCAGGCAGGCGGGAAGGGAAGCCCACGCCTCCCCATCACGGCTGCTCCTGTCTCGCACTCGTGCTCTCAGGCTGCTTGGGGATGGGTTAGTGCCAGCTGTGGATGGGGTGTGCCCTCCGCTGGTTGGCTTAGTGGCAAGAGAAGGGACTCCCCCTCTGGGTAGAGCGGACCAGGCCCAGAGGGGCTCCTGCAAGGAAGCCTGGCTTGCTTGGCAAATCTGCAGCTGCCTCAAGGCCAGTGGCCGCCTCTGTTTCTGAGGGCAGTTGAGGATCGAGGTCTTTAGCTGAGTCTCCAAGAAATGAATGGCGTGCTGGAGCAGGAAGAGCTGGAGGGAATGTTGGCTGCGGACTCCACACGCTCCTGGAGGGAAGGGCACGGTGTGGAGGCCGAGGGGCCTTTGTCTCCCCAAGGCAGGTTGGGAAGCTATAGTGGGATCTCAGGCCCCTCAGCCCTCCCCGTGGCTCCTCACTCACGTGGGCCCCCAGGCAGCAGCAGGAGCAGAGCGCAGAGAGGGCCTCGAGGCCTGAGCCCGGGGACCCATCCTCCCAGCACATCTGTGCCCTGCGCGGTGGCCCTGGAGGCTGAGGAGGGGCGTAGATGTGACCTCTCCTGATCCTGTGTTCTTTTTAAGAAATGGGTTTGGGCAGCTGTTTGGAAAGTTGGTCACCAAGTAACCTTTAACGCTGAGACTGCAGAGTCCTTTCTTCAACTGGAAAGAGTCAAGCCTTAATCTTTTTCAGTCATTCATTGTTTGGTTTAATCAGTTCATTTATTTTTTCTTTAGGTTTAACTTTTGTTCGTTTCATTCACCAGACCTCCAGTTTGAACCACAGTAGACTGACTTGACTTTTGCTTTTCAGTTTTACAAGTCCTTGGCATTTTTCCCTAACTCCACTTTTGTTGGTTTGTTGAAAAGGTTTGTCCAGAGGGGTTGCGTTTATCCGGTTTGACAAACGGTCGGAAGCAGAAGAGGCAATTACCAGTTTCAATGGTCATAAACCCCCAGGTTCCTCCGAGCCCATCACAGTGAAGTTCGCAGCCAATCCCAACCAGAACAAAAATGTGGCGCTCCTCTCGCAGCTCTACCACTCGCCCGCGCGGCGCTTCGGAGGCCCCGTGCACCACCAGGCGCAGAGGTTCAGGTGAGTCCTCAGGTGGCTGCTGGCGTCCTTTCTGGGCCAGCCACGTTCCTCGGGCCTCGCGTCACCCTGCTGGTACGCAGCCACAACAAGTGGAAGATGCCAGGGTGCTTGGTTGGTCTCAGCAGACAGTCGCATCTCGGCATCAGTCTCGTGGCTGTGCACCACCTCCATCAGAAGTGCATCTGTGCAAGAGCTGTGCACCATTGTCTGTTAAGTACCAGGTCCAGGGCCGCCTCAGGTACCAGAACCCCGAATGCTCGAGGCCCTTACACAATGGCATAGCGTTTGCATACAGCCCCTGCACACCCTCCCGCAGCCTTCACAGCATCTCTGGGTGACTTGTGGCCCTCACACAGCACGAGTGTTGTGTAGATCTTCACTCTAGCATGTAGGAGACAGTGACAAGAAGTCTGTACGTGTTCAGTACAGGTGTGGAGTTTACATACTATTTTCAGTCTGCGATTTGTTGACTGCAGAATGAAGGGCTGACCTTGCGTCTGCGGGGAGATGATTTTCACTGGAACTGCAAAGATAGCACCAGGACCTGGATTCCGGGGAGGGTGCATGTGCATGCCTGTTTGGTTTTCCGCAGCACCGGGGACTGGGGTGTAAAAGACTATTCTGTACTGTGGGAGAGAAGGTGGTGCCAGGGATGTGTAGGGGAGAGCCGATCTTCACCCAGAGCTGGTTTTTTTTTTTTTTCCCTTTACCTTTTGTGGTACTAGGATCGCTGAAAGTTCAAGGCCAGCCTGGACTACACTGCCTCACAAAAGCACAAAACCAAAAAGATAGCAAAACCCAGGATGCCCGAGTCCCTCTCTGAAATGCGTAGTGCTTTCATACAGCCCTTGCACATCCTTCTGTAGACTACATCATCTCTAGCTAGCGTACACTACCCAATACAGGGCCTGTGCTGGAAGGAATTGCTGTACCGTATTGTCTAGGGAATGGTGTCAGGGAAAAACATCTGTGCATGTTATTTTCCTTTAATGTCTTCTTCCATCCCAGGTGGGTTGAACCACACACGTAGACACACGTAGAACTTTCGGAGGGTGGGCCTAATACAACAGCTGGGTGTAAGGGGAGGTGGCTGAGGACTTGGGACTGGAAAGGCAGCGCTCTTCCGGTTCTCTCTGAAAGTCAACTCAACTTAGTGTCCCACAGACCCCGGCTGCTATTGTGGCTCAGTGGTTTCAGTGTCACCTGCAGGCCACCAAGTCGCTTCACCAGTTTATATCCTGGTGTGGGCTACTTCAGCTGATTTTTGTGGCTTTTTGTTTTGTTTTGTTTTGTTGTATTAGGAATCAAACTCCGGACCTTGCATTTGCCAGGCAGGCGCTTGTGCCGCTGAGCTATATCCCTGGCCCTGTTAGGTTTTTTGAGATATAGTCTTGCTGTGTAGTTCAGGCTGGCTTGAACTCACTGTTTTTTGTTTTGTTTTTTGGTCTTTTTGAGACAGGGTTTCACTGTGCAGTTCGGGCTGGCCTCAAACTCACTTTGTAGCTCAGGCTGGCCCCTAATATACAGCAATCCTTCTGCCTCAGCCCCTCAAGTGCTGAGATGACAGATGTGCGCCACCCCGCCAGGCCTTTTCCTCAAGGATTCTTAACTGGCCCTAAGTCTGTTGCTGTTTTGATCGTGAGGTGTCTAGAAGGTGGTGCGGCTTCACTAAGTTTTGTCTCTGCCTTAGTCCTTACTTGCAGCGTCCGCGTGTGTGTTGCCAGAATAACACACGAAGTGTGGCTGTAGACAGGACTCTGTGCTGGTCCCGGTGGCTGCCTGCAGCCGCTGGTGCCCCCAGCCCTATGCTCGTGTCTGGTTCGCACCCTCGGCTCTTGGGGCTGGTTCCTTCCAGGAGGGCTCGAGCCGGCCCAGGGCTGTGGGAGGGGTTCTCCTGTGCCCTGCCGTGGCCCTGACCTTGCAGGGGTCGTGATGAGGGAAAGGCACTACATCTGGGGAAAGAGCGCCCTCAGCCCCTACACACGCGTGTGCACACGCGTGCGTACAGAACCTGAGGCATTTCTATCCTGCGAAGGGGGCCTGAAGAGATGGCCATCTCTTAAAATGTAGGGCAGCCCTGGCGCCACTAACCAAGCTATACACATCCAGGAGAGGAGCGCCAGGCACTGCAGGAGCCCTTCGGCAGCAGGAGTCCCACCCCTCACTGCCGCATCAGATTCCCTTCCCAGGTCGGCGTGGCCCTCACTGTGGCCCAGCTTTTTAGTGCCAGTAGTTGAGCTGTAGGACAGGAAGGGGCCAGTGTCCACGGGTCAGCATGTGCCAGGCCATCCTCCCCGGCCCTTCCCCACCCTGTGTTGCTGTCAGCCTGCGTGACCTTGACCTGAACGCTGTGCTCTCTGTTTGCTAGGTTCTCCCCCATGGGTGTAGATCACATGAGTGGGCTTTCTGGTGTCAATGTCCCAGGAAACGCGTCTTCAGGCTGGTGCATCTTCATCTACAACCTTGGGCAAGACGCAGATGAGGGGATCCTCTGGCAGATGTTTGGCCCATTTGGCGCCGTCACCAATGTGAAAGTGATTCGAGATTTCAACACCAACAAGTGCAAAGGGTTTGGTTTTGTGACCATGACAAACTATGAAGAAGCTGCAATGGCCATAGCAAGTCTGAATGGCTACCGCCTGGGGGACAAAATCTTACAGGTTTCCTTCAAAACCAACAAGTCCCACAAATAACTCGCTCATGCTTTTTTGTACGGAATAGATAATTAAGAGTGAAGAAGTTGAAACTTTTTTGTTAGTGTACAACTCATTTTGCGCCAATTTTCACAAGTGTTTGTCTTAGTCTAAATGAGAAGTGAAAAGGTTTTTATACTCTGGGATGCAACCGACATGTTCAAATGTTTGAAATCCCACAATGTTAGACCAATTCTAAGTTTCTTAAGTTATTTCCTTTAAAATATATATTAAACAGAAACCTAAGTAGACTGCGTTGACTAACCAGTCCCTCTGGATGGTGGTAGAACTGAAGCATGCTTTACTTCTAAGACTGTCTAACATTCGTTCATTTGATGTCTCCACAAACTGGATAAAACAAGTGATCTTTCAGTTTTAGTTTTTAATCTAAAGATGTTAGACAGATGCCGAGTGTGCGTTTTCTCAACTGCTTCAACATCTTAAGCAATGTATGCTTTGGTTGACAGGAAATTGCTTTCCCGAGCGGGTCCCACTGCCACCTCCTGCTCACTCAGTCCCTGGCTCTGCCAAGTGGTCCTGGGGGTGGCAGTGACCCCGTCCGGCATGGGCCACCACCAGGGAGGGGGGCCGCACGCTGGCCTGGGCCGGGCACCCGTGGGAATGGACCAAAGAGTTTCAGGGAAACTCCAGTGTATTCCAGAGTCAGCCCTGAGCTCCAGGCACCCCTGAAGACGTGTCACTGCTCTGCCACCCCGAATTTCTGTCCACACTTTGCATGCACGGTGCCCCATACATCGGATCCTGTTGTTCACGATGATTTCTCCAGTTTCCAAGAGCATTTAACACAGCTTGAATGCATAAGATAGCTCTATTTTTTAATAACATAAACATTTGAGCATTGTATTTCTCGCATCCCTCCTTGTGAGCGCTAGACCTTTTTCTATCTTAGTTGGATTTTGTTTTGGAAATTTGCTTTCGTATGGACACTCAGCAGAAAAGTACTTACTTCTTGCCAGTTATCTATTAACAAGAACCTTTGATTTGTAGTTTTTAAAGATTAACCCTCAAAAGTTCTCTTCATAACTGCCTTGACATTTTGGGTTGTTCTGTTCTGTTAATTTTCTTTTGCTTTTTTGTGTTTTTTGTTTGTTTTTACTTTTGCATTTAAGACCATTAAATTTGATTTTGTTTTGCTCGAGTTTTGTTTTGTTTTTTGTTTTACCTTTTCTTTCTTTTTGGCTAGGGAAGGCACAGACAGCCCAGCATTCAGGGAGGGGTCGTAAGATCTTAGGAAACAAGCACTTGCCTTGAAGAAGAAGCATTTGGAAACCGTGGTGTAGGAATGGGCAGCTGCGGAAAGGTGGCTCTTGCTCGGGGAGCCGGCAGGAAGGGAGCAGAGAGGGCGCCCCTGGCAACCGCTTGGGGCGCAGTCAGGCTTGAGAAGTAACCGGAGGAGGACGGCTCAGTGCTGGCAGCTTTGAGCCGTGACATAAAATGTCAAGCATGGGATGGCAGGGTGTGTTTTTAGTTCTAATGTCATAGGGTAACAGCACTATTTATTTATCTATCTATCTATCTATCTATTTATTTATTTATCAAGCTATTTATTTAGGTGGAAAACTGAGTAACAGGCACAGCCATCTCCAGAGCAGGTCCACATCTCCAGAAACCTTTAGATAGTGTGAGGCTACCTGTCCCTTGCCCCTTCCCCTCACCCCTCCCAGAAGTGCCGTTTACATTGTCCTCATGTATCACAGAGGCTGCTGTGTGCTGGGCCTTATCTCCTTGGAGTGGGCCACAGGCCGCCTGGGACCACTTCCTCCTTCCCCAGAAATTCCAGCCTACCTGGCTGAATTCAACACAGAGGGCCCCCAGCTCTGTTTCCCCAAAGCACTCCTTCCCTTGGGAACAGTGTTTTCCTGAAAAACAGGCCTTTTGGGTTCCTTGAGCCGGCATCTTGTGTGGAAAGGTGGATTCCGGGTCCCGATCCCTCTGCCGTGGTCCCCTAACTCACGAGCTTTCCTGCCGGCCTCAGCCAGTGCCCCATCCTTGTAGAGGTTCCCATCTCGGCGTGGACCGTGAAGGGCTCAGGCTCGCAGCCGGCACCTCGGCTGCTCTCCCGCCCCGCCGCCTCTGAGGACTGATTTGATCCTGGGTGGTCGGTGGGGACGCCCAGAGCTTCTCAGTTGAGTGAAAGCCTCATTTCAGGTGGGCTCCACTGTGAACAGCCTCTTGCCAAGATCCCAAGGCATTCCTTGGGAAACTGAAATAAGCCAGGGTGTGGAAGGTTTAGCTTTTGAAACAGCACTCCTGAAAAGCAGTTTGCCATCAAGGCTGTAGATGCTGGCCCGGGCGGTGAGTTTCTTGTGTCTTCTCTGGCCCCCTTTACAAAGAGCAGAGCCCCCTTTTTAAAAGTTACAACCCAAAGGCTGGGGGTGGCTCATCGCCAGAGCAATTGCCAGCATGCTCAGAGCCCTGGGTTTCATCCCCGGCACTGCAAAGAAAAAATAGTCCTGACCCCAAAGCAACCATTTAAAAAACTGCATAGATCCATGGTGTTCATATCAAGTGAAATGAGTGCTTCTCCTTATACTGGGGGACTTGGATGAGAAACAGTGAAGAGTAGATAACGTTAGTGTATCCGGCGTTTGGTTCAGTGAATTGCCCGTGGTTGAACTCTTCTGACCTCTGTAACCAGCCCTGGTACTTACCTTGCCCTCAGCAGCTCTGAACTGGTGAAGGGGACTGCAGCTGAATTGTCCATTTCTCCCCATGCGGCTTGGGCCCAGCTGCGCTTTTCAGTGTATTGTGCCAAGCAGTGGCCTTCTGTGCTAGCTGTACTACTTGTCCCCATACTGGTACTGATGTCCCCGTCCATGGCCGCCACCTTCCTAGGTGAGAGCTGGCCTCCGTGGGCCGGTGCAGGTGGTGCTGGGTGAGATGGGTTTCCCACCAGTGGCAGGTAGGTCTCTCCTGCTGAGCGCAGCTGCCTTAACGTTTGAGAGTCTGCACTTGTAGTTCAGGAAACCCCGGATGCCCAGGGACTGAACTGAGCTGCTCTAGGGACCTCAGAGCTCGCAGTCCAGGGATTTCCCTGCCGAGTCCCGAAGCAGATGGGCCCCAAGGCAGTTAGTAGCAATGAATTGCCTACCCTGGTTTGCCTCCAGACAGCCACTTGTTAGTCTGTAAGCTGTTGAAAAGACAAGACGCTCCAGTCTAGCCCTGGCCATGAAAATAGTGGACGTCTCTCCACTGTTCCGTTTCCCATCACTTGGCCTGATCTCGTTCCTGCATGTTTGGGCGCCAGCTAGCCTTCCTCCCTTGGATGAGAGGGCAAGAGTAAGCTATTGAGGCCTCCACCTGCTGGAGGACACCGGTCCTTCATCTCTTCCTGTCTTCCCACGACCCGCCTCACCTCCTGGGACTTGAGGCAGCTCCTTAGGAGAGACCCCCAAGCTCCCTCATTTCTGGGGGCCAGGGTTCCTGTCCCTCCAAACTTCCTGACTCGGCTCTGAGGTTGCAGTGCCTTTTGTCGAGTAGCACTGGTAATTGGCAAATTCTCACCAGAGCAGTGGAACCTGGATCTCACCCCACACGAGATCTGCCCCGATCTCTAATGATTGTGTTACATTCCCACAACCTTTCAGTAATGCAGGTTTTCATTGTGTTGTTGGTCATTAAAGAAAAAGAAAGAAAAGCTTGTAAGTCACCGAACACAAGGACCTAAGGTTAGGCTGATGGGGGCTTGGTGAGGACTGTGTGTCCCCCTCCTGAAGAGCAGGCTTGCCCACCCACCAGTTGGGGCCACCCCACCCCCCACCCCTCGACATTCCGCTGACAGTGGCTGGCTTGGGGGTGGGGCGGGCGCTACCAACTGATTCCCATGTTGTACAGTAGATGGCTAGACATTTTGTATATTAGTGTGTTTTAAGTTATTGATTTGTTTTATATGAAATAATTTATTTTCAGGTACCATTTTTCATTTTAACTTTGTTTTTACATTGGTTTGTTTTCAATAAAGTCTGACACTGCTGTCCAAAAGTCAATAATAAAATGAATCCCATTGTGTTCTTTTGAGGATGCTTCTGTAACTAGTTTTTTTAAAAAATTATTTTCAGAGAAAGAAAGGGACAAAAGACCCTAGGTTTTCCATCTCCCCATTGCCTTTTTATTTTTTCCTTTAAATTCTTGTGAATAAATGTTCTGTAGTGTTTTAGGAGGAAAAAGCAAACCTAGATTTTGATAATCCAGAAGATTTCAGATTAATAAAGAAGCTTTGAAAGAAGACCATTTTTCAAAATTTTAGTGAAGTGTGAATATTTTTTGTCAATGGCTTTCTCAAAGAGAATGAAACTTTTGCACCATTTTCAGAGTTTTTATAGAGATGCCAAATTGATATATTTACATGTAATGGAAACATGAAAAAGTTTTATTAAACAATTGTTCATAGCTGTGTAGACATTTTAATTCAGTTTCCAAAGCTCTCAAAAGCGTATTTTTGAAGTGTGGAGTGGTACGGCTTGGGGCGTTACCGATGATCCCAAATGACTCAATTGTCCGACACAGTTCCTTCCGCAGGTGTCAGGTTTGTGTTCAGCCCTGTATGTTGCCGATGACTGGAATTCTGTGATATTTTGGTAATAAATGAAGTGGGATAATTGAGCTGTGCTGGTGTAGGGGTGATCGTGTGTGACTCATGAGCGGCCCCCGGCCTTGATGCTGTAGGGAGGGACGGAGCCTGCAGACAGCCGTGTGCCCTATGACCAGTTCTCCCGTGGCCGCCTGCTCCTGCCCGGGTGTTCCCTCCCCCGGGGTGAGTTCACAGCCAGAGACACAGAGGCCCTGTGTCCCCAGGGTCCCAATCCTTCGGCACACCTTGGGGTCCAGCCGCTCAGCGCACCAGCCGTCCCCAGAGCCTGGCCTCTGCCCCTGCCCGTGTTGGAGCCCATTGTGCCATTTACGAGGCCATACCAAGTGACTTCTGGGACTACATTCCTCAGGGCCAGCGGAGCAAGTCTGACTCTCCGACTCGGGGGCACGATGCCAAGGGTTAGGAGTGCCAGGGTCTCAGGGTCAGTCCTGAGCCCAGGATGCCG